ACTATTGACACTTATTTTTCTAGGGAGGGGCATTTTAAAAAATTAAATTTTGTGAATAGAAAAAATGTTTATATAGTTAATAGTGTCAAAATATGAAAAATAGACTGAAGAGTCTTTCAGTTTCTGTTCCTCAGTAGATTGTCACTATTGCTAGTTTCTTGTTTATCCTTTCAGGTGTACAGGATGTATGCATATCCAAGCCAGTATAAATACATTTTTCTTCCCCATTACATTCATTTAACAGTGTCTTACTGTATTAATTTATAAGAAACTTCCTCTTAAAAACAACGTAATTTATTAAATCAGTATCCTATTATTTGACAGAATATTTCCAGTCTTTGTGTTGCCAGTGATGAGCTTAGTCTTTTTTGGTAAACTTGAATTCTGTTATTTTTTTCTTTTTAAGGTTTATTAATTTATGCATACAGAACTGGGGTACAGGCCAGAAGCGCAGGTGTGGTGAGAGGATTCCCCAGACACAGAGTGGGGAACAGAACAGGCCGACGGAAGAAGTGCACTGCCGAGGGAGCAGCAGGCGGGTCAGGAGAAGTCTGCTGCGCTATGTGGGTCACCTGGGTGGGGATCGAAATCATGCTGAAGTGACTTTAGCTTCTTAGTGCTGTGCTTTAACCTGCTGTGCCACCAGGAAGGACCCCTGAATACATTTAATAACTAGTTTCATGTAGGAAAAATAACAAAATCAAACTTGGTAGATAGCTCTTAGAAAATTTGAACAGATGGCTGTTACTGTAACAGTGAATGTATATGTATTTTTTCCCTCTAGAATCTCTATGGAAAAAGAAACGTGAATGTCTGCAATGATATTTCCTGACAAGAAGTTGATACAAGAGAACGAAAGATCAGCAACTAGTGAGCAGAATTTTTAATAACCAGGATTTTGTATTTACCACCTCAAATACAGACTTCTGTTGTCTACTTTAAATCAGAGATAACTACAATCAGAACCCAGACAAGGCGAAAGGATATTTTTCGTCAGTCATTTTTGAGATCAAAGAAATTGCAATGTCTAGGAAACAAAGCCAGAAGGGTAAGATACAATACAGGCCTTATCTGTGGGGCAATGATCACATTTACAGACACACCCTCAAAGACATTCTCAGCATTGTATGTCCCCTCACCCTGTGTAGTACTGTTGATAGATAGAACTTATCATTTTTTTATTGCAATTAACTTTAGAGATGTATAGAAAAATTTACAGTTTTATCTGTTTTTAATATTTGTGGATATAAGCTTATAACTTTGTGGGTCACTAGTTTGAGGGTTAATTCATATGATGATTGTTTTACTACTCTGATAAACTTACTGGAATATATTTTGAGGAAAACAAAGTGCATCTTGAAAATTAACTTTTAGGAAGTGTAAAGATATTTTGGGGGTGAGGTAGGAGATAATTAACTCTAGGATGGGAATTGATGTTTCATTGAAGACAGGAAGTGAAGCAAAAGTAAAATGCTTCCAATTTTTTATTCCTTCTTTAACTTTTCTTCTGGGATTATTACTTAAGTTTCTTGCCTAAAGTAAAATGATAAGGTCCAAAGAGTAAACAAATATCAAGAATAGTTATAAGAAGGTAAGGACAATAATGTTGGTAAAATTAGTTCTTCATCTTTCTTAAAATAACTACAAAAATTTTAAGATTTTTTTTTTTTAATTTATGCATACAAGAACTAGAGTGTAGGCCAGAGGTGAGGGGGTGGTGAGAAGATTCACAGAGAGAGTGGGAGCAGAATAGGTAGATCTACTGAACTACACTGCTGAGGGAAGCTGTGGGTGAGACAGGAGAGGCCTGCTACAGATAACTTCATAGTGCTGAGACTTACGCACTTGCGCCACCAGGGAGGCTCCACCAAAAAGAAGTTTGTATTCCTGAATAGATACCTAAGAGTAGAATTTCTGGATCATAGAGTAGATGATTTGTTGTACATTTTTTATATTTTGAGAAACTTCCATACTGTTTTTTTTCCATGTGGGCTGGATCAGTCCACATTTCCACCAATATTTTATGAGGGTTCCTTTTTCTTCACACATTCACCGCCACATTATTTCTGGTCTTGATATAATTCTCACAGGTGTGAGATGGTATCTCATTGTGGTTTTGGTTTGTGTTTCCCTGATTACAGTGATGATGAGCATTTTTTCATATACTTGTTGGCCATCTGTACGTCTTCCTCGGAGACGTGTCCTTTCAACTTCTGCTAAGCACTTTCAATATTGTTTCTTTGTCTTAACTCTTGGTAGACCTTTGGCTCACATGTTGGCTGTGAGTTTGTTATATGTTGCTTTTATAATGTTTAGATACATTCATATTTAACCATTTTGTTCACTATTTTTTATTATAGATGGATGTTGAATCTTACGAATGCTTTTTCAGAGTTTGTTGAGATGATTGTGTGGCTTTTACTTTTCTTTTTGTTGATTAATCAATACGTTCATGTTATGTCAGCCTTACATTCCTAAAATGTAAGGATGGATGATTTTTTGGATGATGTGTTTGGTTTGCTTGGTTTTGTTGAAGATTTTTACATCTGTGTTCATCAGAGATATTGGTCCATACTTTTATGTATAATCTTTGGTTTTGGGGTGAGGGTAATGCTGGTTTCATAGAATGTATTGGGGAAATTTCCTCTCCAGTATTTTTGAAGAGTTTGAGTAGGATAGGTATTAGACCTCTTAAGGTTTGATAGAAATTATTGGTATCTGGCCCTGCCTGGGCGTTTGATTCAGGGAGAGTTTTTATTACTCTTCTGTTTCAGTTCTTGTGATTGGACTGTTTAAGCTGTACATTTCACCCTGATTCAGTCTTTTAGGATATATGAGCCTAAAAATTTGTCCATTTCTTCTGGAGCGTCTAATTTGTTTGCATAGATCCTGCTGCAATAGGTCCTTAGGATCCTATGTATTTCTGTATCTGTTTTAATTTCACTGCTTTCATTTTTCATCACTTTGGGGTTACTCATCTCTTTTCTTTGTAAGCCTAGCTAATGGCTTGTCAGGTTTATTTTTTTCATGGAACAATCTCTTGATTTCACCAAACTTCTAGATATCTTTTTGTTTTCTATTCCACTTATTTCTGCTTGAATTTTTACTATTTCTTCCTTTCTACTGGTTTTTGGATGCTTTTGTTCTTTTTCTAGTTCCTTCAGCTACAGAGTTAGATTGTTTTTTGATATTTTTTCCTCTGTGGGCCTGTATTGCTCTAAATTTCTTACAGGGTACTGCTTTTAGAGTGCCCCATTTTAGAGCTAGTCTCTTCATTTTCATTATTCTCTAAATACTTTTTGATCTCTTTATTTCCCCAACAGTTGTTCAGCAGAATTTTATTTTCCATGTATTTTGGTTTATTCCAGGATTACTTTTGTGGTTAATTCCTAGTTTTGGAGCATTGTGGTCTGTAAAGATGGTTGATAAAATGTTTATTTTGTATATTTTCTGAGATATGCTTTATGTCCTATTATATGATCTATTCTTGAGAATGTGCACTAGAGGAGAACATGTATATTCATTTCTTTTGTGATGGAAAGCTCTATAAATGTCCAGTGAACCCATCTATTCCAGCACTTTATTTAAGGCCTTTATTTCTTGAATTTTCTCTATGGATGACCTATCCCTTCATGTTACTGGTGTGTTGAGGTCTCTGACGATGATGGCATTTTTGTTAACATGTGACTTACGTGCTTTAGTAGTTGCTTGGTGTAACCAGGTGCTCCAGTGACTAGGTTGCTTTGTATTAGGTGCACAAATATTAGTAATAGTTACATCTTTTCGGTGTATTGTGCCCTTGATCATAGCGTAGTGTCCTCTTTATCTCTGATTACCTTTTTTGTTGAAAGGTTTTATAAATGCTTTTTGTTGAAAGCATTTATAATCTTACTCCAACTTTTTACTTTAGCTTGTTTTTGTCTTTTACTTTTAAATAGTTCTCTTATAAACAAACGATGGATAGCTGAAATTTCCACCCACAATGTCAGTCTGTCTTCAATTGGCAAAACAGATGGTTCACTATTGATATGAACGGTTTATCATTTATCATCAGTTGTTTTGTTTTTGATTTTGATTTATTTTTATGCTGTTTCCTTTTCCATTTACTTTGCTCTTTCTGGATGGTTTTCCTTATTATTTCTTTTAGTTCCTTGGTCTGTGCATCTCTATTCTGAATTTTTGGTTTACAGTTACCATAGGGGTTTTACTTAAATTTGTATGATCTTAAGTTTATTTTGTTTAAAGATTTATTTGTTTATAAATAACTGGGGTGCAGGCCAGAGGTACAGGGGAGGTAAGAGGATTCACCAGAGACAGATTGGGGAGCAGAACAGGCAGATGTACTGGAATACACTGCTGAGGAGAGCAGTGGAAGGACCAGGAGAGGTCTGCCAGGCCATGTGGGTCACTCCTGGCCAGGGATCGAACTCATGCTGCAGTGGCTGTGATAGCTTCATGATGCTGTGCTTTAACCTGTTGAGCCACCAGTGAGGGCCCTGATATTGAGTTCTTTATGAACTTTCTGAGATTTAACTTTGTAAGTTCTGTTCCATTTACTCCTCCCCTTTAGTGTTTTATTCTTGACTCATAATATTCTTACTCATGCTTCTGGTTTGTATTCTTGTTGTCATTTTGCTCAAGAATTTGTGTCTCATTTTTTCTTTTTTTAATAGAGAACTCCTTTTAATATTTCTTGAAGGACATGTCTGGGTGATAGACACCACTAGCTTCTGTTTATCTGGGAAAACCGTTATTGCATCTTCATCCCTGAATGACAATTTCGAGGGATAGAGTATTCTTGGCTGGCAGTTCTTGTCTTTTATTGTTAATACTTCTGTTCTCTTGTTGCCTGGAGAGTGTCTGGAACGGAGTCAGGGGCAAGCCTAATTTGGGAGCGTTTGTAAGTTTTTTTGTCTTGTGTCCTGCAGAATTTTTACTTTTATCTTTAATTTTTGATAATTTAGCAATGATGCATTAAGATATATGCCTTTATTTGAACATTTGGGTATTCTCTCTGCTTCCTAGACATCAATAATTCATTCATTAGGTTTGGGAAATTCTCAGTTTTTATTTCTTCAATTCAAAGAAATAAAAACTGCTCCCATTTCTCGCTCTTCTGCTTAGCCTTAAATATCTTCTGCTAATTGAGTCTGATATTTCTTGCAGTTTCCCCCATTTTCCCTTTGTATTGTTTCTCTTTTTCTAAGTGGGTGATTTGTTCCCTTGAGTCTTCTATTTCTGAATTTCTTTCTTCTCCCTCCCTGTTTAATTCTATGTACAGAACTTTCTAAATTCATCCGTTTTTTTCCCTGATCTTTTTATATATTCAGTCTGTTTGGTGAAGCATACTCTTTGTCCTGGATCTCCTTCCTAAGATCTTACACCTCCCTATCTGCCTTTGTTCTTTCAGTAGCTCATTTGGATTTTTATCATTGTTGTTTTGAAATTTTTATCTGATAGGTCCTCAATTTCTGTCTTCTTAATATCTGTTCTAGGACTTCTTTTTTTTTTTTAAAAGATATATTCATACAGAACTGGGGTACAGGCCAGAGATGCGGAGGGTAAGAGGATTCACCAGAGACAGAGTGGGGAGCAGAACAGGCAGATCTATGAAATACACTGCTGAGGGGAGCAGTGGGCGGGTCAGGAGAGGTCTGCCACGCCATGTGGTCTCCTCCGGGGCAGGCGGGGATCAAACTCATGCGAAAGTGGCTGTAGCTTCTTAGTGCTGTGCTTTAACCCGCTGCGCCACCGGAGAGGGCCGGACTTCTGTTTTTCTCATTGCTTTTTCATCTTTTGTTCAGATGTTCCTTGTGTCCTAGGCATGTGTGTTGCCTTATTTGCTAGTGCATGTAGTGTGTATGAGAGAGACAGAGACAAACACACACATGGAGGCAGAGAGAGAGACAAGAGGGAGAGATAGAGAACACTATTGGGATGCTCTGTAATTAGTTTTGTTTCTCAGTTTACCTTGTGGGGACAGGTGGGAACTCAGAGGTTTCATACTTGATCTCAGTTTGATGAGTGACTTTGGTCACATCTACTTTA